TGGTGCTTTGGTCATGTTTGAATACCCTTGACTGTTGGTCCCCTAGCAGGTTATCAGGGGTTACCTTACTACTGGTTGCCAGGAGACCCGTAGTTCTCCGTCCTGGCTGCACGTTAGAATCTCCTGGAAAGATTTAGAGATACTAATGCTAGGCTCCACCCAGACCAAGTGAACCAGGATATCAGGGAGGTAGCGCCTGGGTATCCCAGGTGATTCTCATGTATGGCCAGAGTAAGAACTTCCCTGCGGAATATTTTTTTTTTTTAACGTTTATTTTATTTATTTTTGAGACAGAGACAGAGCATGAACGGGGGAGGGGCAGAGAGAGAGGGAAACACAGAATCGGAAGCAGGCTCCAGGCTCTGAGCCATCAGTCCAGAGCCTGATGCGGGGCTCGAACTCATGGACAAGATCGTGACCCGGCTGAAGTCGGACGCTTAACCGACTGAGCCACCCAGGCGCCCCACCCTGCGGAATATTTTAAGAAGACAGAGAAATGGAAATGTCTTAACATTTTAACCCTGGGTGAGCCATATATGTATCCATGTGCTGTCCAATATGGTAGCCTTTGGCCACACGTGGTTATTTTTATCTCAATTACTTTATTTATTTATTTTTTTTTTAATTTTTTTTTCCAACGTTTATTTATTTTTGGGACAGAGAGAGACAGAGCATGAACGGGAGAGGGGCAGAGAGAGAGGGAGACACAGAATCGGAAACAGGCTCCAGGCTCTGAGCCATCAGTCCAGAGCCTGATGCGGGGCTCGAACTCACGGACCGCAAGATCGTGACCTGGCTGAAGTTGGATGCTTAACCGACTGCGCCACCCAGGCACCCTTCCTTTCTTTTTTCAAGGCACACTGCTGTATGCGGCACCTTGTTTGGAAAATATTCAGATTTGGGGGGTTTTTTTGTTTGTTTTGTTTTTAAGTAATCTCTATACTAAACATGGGGGCTTGAACTCACAACCCTGAGGAGGCTCTTTTATACAAAGCTCTCTTAGGGCTCTGGTAAGCAAATGATTAATTGAGGTATTAATCTTTGGAAAATTTTGAAAAATCCATTAAGGAGGATATCCATAGCCTTGTCATCATGAGAAACCAAGATGGTTCCTGCATTACTTTCCTATGTGTTCTGCATATGAAATAAAGTATTGAACTCATGGTAGGTATTTCTGTATCTTTGGACCAGTCCAGAGCTCCTTAGACTAAGTATTTAACTCAGTGTACTGTATCATAGCCACAAATATTAGGTGAGTGTGTGAGCATCTCTGGATTTGAATGTCTAACAATGATCTATAAATTTTTCCATTCAGACTCCATGCTATAGGAATTTCAAAACCAAGGCTCTAATGCTGCTTTAGTAATTAACCTGCTGTGTGGCCTTTAGTTTTAAATTAAAACACTGCCAATCGAGTCCTTACAGTGGTTATCTCAGGAATAGTGAAGTGTTTATGCTCATCCAGTCACACCCTGTCACCGCTACCACCACCAGACCAGTGTTTGATGCTTCTCAGACCAGTGGACACACTGAGTGCTGCTGTGTGTAGACAAGTGAAGGCATCTGCCTTCCCAGGGATGGAGCCTGTGACGTCCCCACTACGCTTTCCCTGGCACTGCTACCTTCACACAGGCAGCCATATTCCAGGACGGCAAGGGGAGATGGTAATGGAGACTTAGTGTTTTCTTCAGAGCATTTAAAAGGTTTATCTGTGGGGCACCTGGGTGGCTCAGTAGGTTAAACATCAGACTTCGGCTCAGATCATGATCTTGAAGGTCATGGGTTCGAGCCGTGCATCAGGCTCTGTACTAATAGCTCAGAGCCTGGAGCCTGCTTCGGATTCTGTGTCTCCCCCTCTCTCTGCCCCTCCCCCACTTGTGCTCTGTCTCTCCCTCTCAAAAATGAATAAATATTGAAAAAATAAATAAACAAAAGGTTCATCTGTACAAAAGTGAGAAATTGCAGATAGGTACACAGAGAGATCTGGACACTGAACACACACATAAATATATCTGTCGGCACCTATGTTTGGATTTCAGATTCCCAGCTTTATTTTTACAGACATTTGTATGACCTCACGAGGACCATGTCATTGTCCCTCCTGAGGACTTTGGGAAGAAAAGTAAATAGAGAACTCACAGAGTGGCTTTGATAAACTCTTCTCTTTTTCATTCTCAGAGATGACTTTTCTTTCACTGCCTTTCTTCCTGCTTTTGTTCAGCTTTCTCATCTTTGAAATATGTTCCGCCAGCAGCCCATCATGGTTCATGGGAATTTTCCAT